TCTTTCAATAATCTTTCAATAATCTTTCAATAATCTTTCAATAGTCTTTCAATAATCTTTCAATAGTCTTTCAATAATCTTTCAATAATCTTTCAATAATCTTTCAATAGTCTTTCAATAGTCTTTCAATAGTCTTTCAATAATCTTTCAATAAGGCCATGGGTGGTACGTATCTTCTGGCTGACTGTCAGCGTTGGAATCCATTTTGGGTGTGTTAGTGGTGCTGTGGGTGTGCCCAGCTCTTCTTGAAATGGGTCTAACCTTACCTGCCCACGTTGCAGTGAATCAATGGACCAACTGCCTTCTCACCACTGGTTACTTTTACATTAACGAACAAATTTAAAAAATGCAACGTGAATGTAACATGTAACGCAACACATTATAGAAATGTAGTGTAGTAGAAAGTACAGATACTTCATGTAACATACAGTGGAGTAAAGGTCGAAAGTACACATATTTAACTCTACTTAAGTAATGTACAGATACATGAAAAATGTACTTAAGTACAGTAACAAAAATACTTGTATTTTGTTACATCCCACCACTGACTATAAATTCACTTTATCTGCATCTTTACTTCTTACCTCTCTCACTCAGGACTAATGAAGACCAACACAAACACTAGACGAAGCAAATCTCTGCATTAGTTATCTGACAGCCAGAATTATTCTGTTTACAGAAAGGAAAGTAGAAATGTCCATTCTCTCGATCATCAATGATTGTTTAGTGGCAAGTCAAGCAAAAAATAAATATAATGCAGTTGGATAAATATAAAATGGTATTCTGCCATGAGCACAAAGTTACTGTAGCAGCTGAAGCAACAGAACAGGATGTTTTCCGTCTTACCTGCTATGGGTGGACCCACAACCATTGGCACGGACATCAGGCCAAGCAGGAATCCGATGGCCTGGGACACATCATTCGGCCCAACCAGCTCAAAGGCGATGGGGGCCATGATGCAGATGAAGCATCCATCGAAGAGTCCCATCAGCAGGCACACAGCAATCAGGCCCCCGAAGATTTCACACAGAGGGATCATCATCGACATGAGACCAATGACAAAGAATGACGCCACCTGGAACCACCGAGGGTCAGTTATGCTTTATCTAGTTTATGAACTCTTCATCCTTTGTTAACGCTCAAGTTCAGGTAGATTAGGACTTTAGAAGACTTTTAGATTTTGTGTGTAAACTATATGCAAGAAGAAAAATAGTATTTTAGATCAAATGCAGCATGAGCTGAGAGCTAAAAAACAGGTAACATTTACTGAAGAAGCCGAAACTGAATTGTTAAAGCTAAAAGAAGCAGAACACTATCCAAAAGCTAAAATAATTGAATTTGCTAGCCTAAAGCCAAAATAATCAAACTCAAGCTGAAAGTAACAAAACACCAGCTACAAGCTAAATGCAACAAAAGGCTAACTAAAGGTTACAAGGAGAAAAAGTTAGTTCATTCAACCTTTATGTCTACAGGTTCATCCCACTGAGCCTCGGGGACTCATTTACAAGAGAGACCTGAAAAAGTTAGTAAAAGCTATGAGTAGCAAATGGCTAGCTGGAGGCTAAAAGTGGCAAAAGGCTAACTACAACCCAAATGTAGCTGAAGGCTAGCTAAAGACTTTAATTAGTAAATAAACTTAATTAGTAAACGAAAGTTAAAAGTTAAAGTAACAAAAGACAAGCTAAAAGCAGCACAAGAAGGTCGAAACTGAGACCGTTTGCTAAAGCAAGTTTTAAAAACAACTAAGTTTTTGAAGAAAGTAAAAAGGATTCACTGTACTTCTACTATAGGTAAAATACTGTATATAATGTATATGAATATACTAAATATAAAATAGAATTATAAAAACAGTTAAATACTTTGAAAAGTATGAAAGTTACAAAACCCAAAAGTCTTAGCACCCATCTCCTGATTGAGCTGAATATTTTAATATATAAACGGCTAAAATGGCACATTAATTTATTAAGACTGAAAAAAACAATTAAAAAATAATAAATAAATAACAGGAAAACAATAGTGTGATTGCTGAATCAGCAGTTGCACAATAATTTATTAAATAATAAATCTAAATTTAACAAATGTACCTTATGCTGCTTTTAGAAGCGTTCATGCAAGTTTAATCATTTAGTAAAGTTGATTTATTTTTCTCTGTTACATCTGTGTGTCCATGTGTCCTTATTGCATGTGTATGTGTGTGTATGTGCATGTGTGTGCATGCATCCTGTGTATGGGTGCGGAAGTGCATGTGTATGTGTATGTGTATTCAATTCTGTTTATTTATAAAGCTCCAAATCACAATAAAGTTGTCTCTGGGACTTTACAGGAACATTCACATAAAAGCCAATTAGTAAAGTTCTCTATCTAAGGAATCCAGCAGACAAGTTGAATCTTGTCTTCATCAGTCTCCCATCCTGAGCAAGCACAGTGGAGACAGTGGGAAGAAAAACTCCCTTTAACAGGAAGAAACCTCCAGCAGAACCAGCTCAGGACAAGAGACCATCTGCTTTGACCAGCTGGCTTGATGTGTATGTGTGTGTATGCGTACGTACGTGCATGTATGTGTGTGTATGCGCATATGTGTGTGTGTGCATATTGCATGCGTGTGTATGAGTGCGTGCATGTGTGCGTGCATGTGCATTTGTGTGTGTGCTTTACATTGTAAGCCTGCCTGTTTGGCTCACCTGCAGGAACACTTTGTTGACTCCCTTGACGAAGTCCGCTACGCTGCCAAAGATGAATCGGCCCAAACAGGATGTGATGCCAATGCACATGAGCAGAATCTCTTTATTGGTGTCTGTTCCAAATTGCTCCTCCACATGTTTCATCTAAGGGTGAAAAAAGAAATCCATCACCACTGACATTTTTTTTGCAATCTATTTTGAATGCAGAAGCAAAGCACCACAAATCTGAAAAGTTTTACTTCAAAACAATTCAATTAAATCCAATTCAGTTTATTTATAAAGCACCAAATCACAACCAAGTTGTCTCAGGGACTTTACAGGAACATTCACATGAAAGCCAATTAGTAAAGTTCTTTATCTAAGGAATCCAGCAGACAAGTTGAATCTTGGCTTTGTTGCAGTCTCCCATCCTGAGCAAGTACAGTGGAGACAGTGGAAAGAAAAACTCCCTTTAACAGGAAGAAACCTCCAGCAGAACCAGCTCAGGACAAGAGACCATCTGCTTTGACCGGCTGGTTGAGAGGACAGGAAGGAGAGACAGACGAACACAGAATGGTAGGTCCAGATATAGGTCCAGGTCCAGGTATAGGTCCAGGTCCAAATATAGGTCCAGGTCCAGGTATAGGTCCAGGTCCAGATAGAGGTCCAGGTCCAGATATAGGTCCAGGTCCAGATAGAGGTCCAGGTCCAGATATAGGTCCAGGTCCAGATATAGGTCCAGGTCCAGGTATAGGTCCAGGTCCAGATATAGGTCCAGGTCCAGATATAGGTCCAGGTCCAGGTATAGGTCCAGGTGTATTTGAAAGACAAAAACACATGTTAAGGATAGAAAAATAATTACTAATACAAAACAGGTTGAGCAGAGTAAGTAAAGACAGTAGCAGAGTGAAAATTGTGGTCAGCTTGTCCTCCAGCAGTCTAAGCCTATAGCAGCATAACTAAGGGACAGCTCAGGAAACCCAAGCCAACCCTAACTACAGGATTTAGCAAAAAGGAAAGTCTTAAGCCTAGTTTTAAAACTGGATAATGTGTCAGCCTCATGGACAGAGATTGGAAGTTGGTTCCACAAGAGAGGAGCCTGAGAACTGAAAGATCTTCCTCCCATTCTGTTTTTGTAAATTCCAGGAACCACAAGTAAACCTGCAGTCTGAGAGCGAAGTGCTCTGTTAGGAAAATATGGAACAATAAGATCTGTAATATAAGATGGAGCTAGGTTCTTGAGAGCTTTGTAGGTTAGAAGTAAGATTTTGAATTCTATTCTGGATTTGACAGGGAGCCAATGGAGAGAAGCTAAAACTGGAGAGATATGATCTCTCCCAGTAACTCCAGTTAAGACTCTGGCAGCAGCATTTTGGATCAACTGAAGACGTTTTAAAGAAGTATTTGGACACCCAGATAATAAACCATTGCAATAGTCCAGTCTAGACGTGACAAATGCATGGAGCAGTTTTTCTGCATCATCTTTAGATCAGATGTTTCTAATGTTAGTGATATTACGCAGGTGGAAGAAGGAGGTTCTAGTAACGTTTTTAATGTGGGGGATAAAAGACATGTCCTGATCAAAAATAACACCAAGATTTTTAACATTAGAGCTGGAGGACAGATTAATGACATCTAAGGAGGGAGAAAGACTGAAAAATTCATTCCTAAGGTGCTCAGGTCCAAAAACCAAAACCTCAGTCTTGTCTGTTCAACAGGAGAAAATTAAGGGTCATCCAGGTTTTTATGTCTTTAAGACATGCTTGTAGTCTAAGTAGCTGATTTGATTCATTGGGTTTAATGGACAAATATAATTGTGTGTCATCATCATAACAATGGAAATTTATCACATGCTGTTTAATAACTTTACCTAATGGAAGCATATATAAAGTAAAGAGTATTGGCCCAAGCACTGAGCCCTGAGGAACTCCATGACTAACTTTGGTGTATGATGAAGATTTATTATTTACATTTACAAACTGGAATCTATCAGATAGATATGATTTAAACCATTTTAGAGCCGTTCCTGTAATCCCAAAATCATATTCAAGCCTCTGTAGTAAAATATTGAGATCAACTGAATCAAATGCAGCACTGAGGTCTAACAGGACCAGTAGAGACACAAGTCCATTGTCTGAGGCCATGAGAATATCATTAGTGACTTTTCAAAACAAGTGCAAAGCAAGGAAGACCCAGAAAGGTGTGTCTGAGTTACAGCCCTTTTTTTTGTTGCTCTGGTTCATTCATGTAAAATCCAACTTTCTGTGATCCATTTAAACTTTGAATGATGGTTTTACTGTGAAGTCTGTTTAGATGTGAGTTGGTTTTATCATATGTTTTGCAAAATACCATTGATCTATATTATTTTCTTCTTGCTGTTCTATTTCATCCCTACTGACCACCAGAGGGCAGTGCTGAAAGCACTGAATGTTCCCTTCACACATGCACCGTTCAAGTAGTAATACACCAACCGAGTCACAGGTATGACACGGTTGACCAATCAGAGGCTATATAGTCTGATGTCAACTGCGGCTCTGTTCCATTTTTCTTCTCGCGTGCAGTTCAATTCAGGGCATTAGCCCTTTGGACCTTGGACCTTTTCACCATCGTCGGAGGCCCGACTGCCCATTGGCTGGAGTAGCGTGTTGGCCCTCCTAGGGGCTGTGACAGTTTAGCCTTCGTTCAAGATATTTCTGCTGTTCGTTGGGGACTACGGTAGTTTTCGCCCCCCTCCCAACTTGCAGCGTCTGACTACTGTGTGTGTGATTCAACACTGGTGAGTAATTTTTTACTTATATTTTGCCATTGGTTAGTGGTAGCGTTTCGCTCCACTCTTTTTTTTTTTTTTTCTTTCCGCAGGTCTAGAGGCAGACTTCAATGATGTTGGTTTGTGTTCTCTTTATCCCTCGCTCTCTCTCCTATTCCTATCTCCTTCTTTACCTTTTAACCCTTCTCTCACTTTTCTGCTTTGTTATCTTCTTTGTTTTTCATCCCCATGTCCATTACATCTGAAACAAGCCCAAAGCAAATTCTAATAAAATTTAACTTATATATCAAGTGGAGCAATAAGGCCAGCCATAATGCTCTGCTTGTGAAAGTAAATCTGTTGGGCATCACTTTGACACGCAGTAAATAATTCTAAGTGTCACAATGCCGGACAGGACAAGGAAAAAAAACAAACAAACAAACGAAAAAAAAACACTGGTGAGTAGTTTTTTTACTTATATTTTGCCATTGGTTAGTGGTAGCGTTTCGCTCCACTCCCATTTGTTGGAGGCTTCCAACTGCGTGGTCGGTTTGGATTGTGTTCCGAAGTTTGTTAATTACATAGCCAGCTGAGTTCCTGGCCTTGTTTTCATTGGTGAAGGCAAGCGTTCACGCACCCTCTCCCAATCATTCTCACCAACTTCATAGACAGTTGGACTGAGCTAGCGGTACTAACCTCCCTACGTTCTGGCCTTGTTTTTAATTAGTGAAGAGAAGCGTTCGCTCCCCTTCTCCCAATCATTTTCACCAACCTCATAAACGGTTGGACTGAGCTAGCAGTGCTAGCCTCTCTGAGTTCTGGCCTTACTTTAATTGGTGAAGGCAAGCGTTTGCGCCCCCTCTCCCAATTGTCCTCTTTTTACCAGCCGAGCTAGCGGCGTTAGATTGTCTGAGTTTCTTTGTTAATTGGTGATGGCAAGCATGCGCGCCCCCTCTCCCAATTCTCAGCTTATCCTATCGTCCTTGTTTTCGTCCTGTATCCTAGATGTAGCTGGCGATGCCAGCCCCTTTGTTGAGTTGCAGTTTTAAACTTTGATTAACATGGCTAAAATGCCTAAAGTAGGAGCATGAACGGCTCTCACTGCTGCACAGATTGTGGGGCCATGCTCCAGGCAGATGACGGTCACGATCTGTGTCCTGCCTGCCTTGAGCATGACCATCTGATGGAGGCCCTGTCAGAGAACCCCTGCATGAACTGCAGCTTCATGCCTTGTGCCGTGAGTGTGGCTCGGCTGGCCCAGTTTTGCCCCAAGCTCGGCAGTGACCTCCCGCCTTCTGGAGAGGAGGCCCCACCTAGGCACTTGAAGTGCCGGACTGAGGCTGCAGTCTCTGTAGCCCCTCCTAGGAAGAGGCAAGCAAAGTCTGATCATGGCCTCTCCACAAGGGTGGAGCAGTTGTCCACAGAATTGGCGGAGATGAAGTTCCTTTTTCAGGCACGCCAACTGGGGGCTGAGCCAGTGGCAGTGACCGGACTCTCCTCCCCACCCATGTCTGAGGTGGCTGTGGAGGAGGATGTGTTATCCTTGGCTGCCTCTGCCTCTCACTTTTTAGATGAGGAGGAGGGACAGTCATCTCAAGTCTCAGAGACTGGTTCACTTTCTTCGTCTCAGAGTGCAGCTAGTGGGTCAGGTGATGGCTCGATGCAGGAAATCATGCATATGGCCTTGAGACAGCTGCAGATGGATGTCCCGCAACTAGAGGAGCCCACCCCTGGAACTGCCTTCTTCAGGTGCGGGTGGGCCCCTCCTCCCTTTTCCGTCCCTCCATCAGAGGAGTACCTGAGCAAGTTGCATGGTTGCTGGCAGGACCCAAAAGTCTTTGCGCACCTCTCCGCATATGGCAGAGTGTTGGTGTCTATGCATGAGCCGGCCGCAGTGGGATTGGATCGCATGCCAGTGATCGAACTTGCTGTTGCCTCGCTCATTGTATCACTAGAAGAAGCTATGCACAGTGATGTTTGGTGCCCATGAGCTCAGTGTCGCTTCACAGATGAATTCCTCTATAGAGCTTATTACACTGGAGCACGTGCTGGCCGCCTCGGCAATTCCATGGCGCCCCTCATGTTTGCCCTCTCCGCGTCCCTTCAGGGCACTAGCGGTGCAACAGCAGCAATGGACTTTAGCGATGCAGCGCTTCAGGCCTTTGCATTGATGACGAGAGAACTTGGGCGCGTGATGTCCTTCTTGGTTCAGGCTCGCCAACAGGTCTGGTTAGTGCAGTCAACATTGACCGAGCCATGTCATAGAACCCTCCGTAATGTCCCAGAAGTGCCGGGGGAGTTGTTCGGTTCGGTTGGTTTGGAAGCACTGGAACGGACCATCCATGCACGACAGACAAGGCAGCAGCTTTCAAGCCTTAGCAGGGTGATGCCCCTTCCACCTTCTCAGCATCCAAGGCAC